GATAAAATAATATTTAATATTTCCTTTATAAGATTTCTATTAACTATAATATTTTATAGATAAAAAGAAAGCACAAACCTCTTCTGTTATAACTCGAGCACGGGCTACGAATAGTATGTTATTTGGGTGCTTAATGTATATGAGCTTATGAAATTTATAAAGTATTAAATCTTAGCAAATAATACATTCATAGATTTTGCTTCTAGTGCATCAAATTTGCCTTCAAATAAAAGGCAAAGTTTTCAAGAATCAACTAATAGCCAATATCAAGAAATTGAACAACCAGCTGAGACAATTTTTAGCGACGAAGAGAATGAGCGATATCTAGATGAAGGCGAAGAGACATCGGGTGTGCATTACATATATTATTTTAGATAATTCTTAACTATAATATTTAATTTAATTTTTATAGATATTACAAGAAGGAAAATTTGAAGAATTACTCCAGTTACAACTCAAGTACGCAATGCCAATAACCAAACTCGAGGAATTAAAGATAAATACAACCGCAGAAAGACATCGGGTATGCATTATGTATATTATTAAGATAATTTCATAACTACAATATATTTATTTAATTTAATTTTTATAGATGTTACTACACCGGTACCAGCTTCTAAAGCATCAAACTTGCCTTCAAATAAGAAGCAAAGTTTTCAAAAGTCAACTACTAACCAATATCAAGAAATTGAACCAATTGAAACAATTAGCAGCGACAAAGGGAGTGAACAATATCTAGATGAAGGTGAAGAAACATCGGGTATGCATTACATATATTATTTTAGATAATTTCTTAACTATAATATAATCTTTTATTTAATTTTAACGTATAGACGTTCTAAACTATACGATAGATAATGGTATTACTTTTATATAATTATAAATGTTCCAAGTATATTAAATAACTGGAATTTTCTTATAATATTCATCTTATTTATTGTTTAGCTAATAATTATGATTCTCTTGGGGATTTGAATACTAAGAAAACCTTATATACCTCAACAGTGCTTCCTTCAAGGCCTATAGTTACGACTTTGACAGAAAAAACATCACACGTAGAAATAACAACTTCAAGTATGGCGGCAGTGACTTTAAACAGAATGGGTAATTAAGCAGACATTTGTTATATGAGTTAAAACTTTTTTTTTTTGATTGTTATAATTTAACCTTTTAATTAGTGAGTTATTTACTTAAAATATGTAAATAAAGCCACATATTAATAATCTTGCGTATTTAATAGATAATAGAAATGATTTTGAGTTACCTCTTAATCTTTCTAATAAGTTTGAGGTGGCCCTGTGGTTAGCATGTCAACCACAAATTTTGAATTTAGCTATTGATATTCGAGATGCAATGTCAGATCAAATATCAAATAATGGTAATAATAATGAATTATCATCGAATATTACTCATCTGTATAATCCTAAGCTGGCTCAACAAGAAATTAAGCAGGTAAACTTTAGGCATTCACAACTACTAAATATGCAAACTTACAAATATCTTCAATATTAGCGCCTCAAGTACCTCCTACAGGAAGAGTGCAAGGCACTCTTCCTTAGAACAAGGAATAATACGACCGCACTGTACGAAGAACTAATTATGCAAGTCTGTAAAATATCGAAAAGGGATGACCGTATGCCAGCACTAGTTAAGGATCTTGGTAGCTAGTTTGACAATTATAGGTATAAATTTCATGCTGCGATCTTAAATCTTGCGATTCAATTTAGAAACACTCACGAATGGTAAGTCATTATATATGTTATTTGACACCAGAAACTATATTTGAAGTTTAATTGTTTAATTCAGAGGTTTTAAAAGGTTCCTGGTTTCGAATAATAATGTAATAATCATTCAATTTTTAGAGAAGCGGATCCACCGGTGAACAAATTAGACGAGTTCATTGATATAAGAGTCTGGAAACCGATTCTTAACTTACACTTAAAGGCCACAGATCAACCTGCGTTAAAAAAAGATTCAGTGATGTTCTTGAAACTTGGCATTTTCGTGCACCATGCCGTTAAAACAGTCATAATGGCTAGTTCAACTGGGCAATATACAAAAAACGCAATCCGAGAGTGTGATGAGATTACAATTGATCTAAAAATTCCCACAAAACTCGGTATACTTAAATCATTGCCAGTCAGAGACCTTTTAGATTGCTAAGTAAATATATTCAGATTATATAAAATTTTGCTAATATAATAATGATTGCATAAATATAAATGTAATAACTTAGTATTTTAAGAAATATTGCATATTATCAGATAGAAATTGTCAGAAACAGCAAGATCCAATGATTTATACAATTAAATAATTTCTAGACATGTAAAAGTAAAGCTTAATTTTGAACAATTTTTCTCTTAAAATATTTATTGTTGTTTTATGATTTATTTTGGTGTTATTAGTGAGTTATTATTTATTAGTATTATTATAATTTTTTTTTATCAATTGTATCATGCTAATTTGCTATAATTCTTAACCCAGATCAGCATAGTATAAATTTTAAAATAGGCACTTTACACTGAGATTATAGGAAGATCGCATTACGGTATGGGTGTAAAATACCTATTTTAAAAACCATACCATACTAATCTTCTGTAAATTTCTGAACCTAATAATACTATAT